GAGAGCAAGCAAGGTTTCAGATGAAGCGCTGGTCACCTGATCTGAGGACAAGCTCAACCACGCCTACCTACCTTTTACCCCCCTTTCCATTCGAAATGTGTGTCATCCGAACGGTCAGAACGGGGGGCGGGGGGGACGGTGTCGAGAATGGCCAACCTGGTGATGCCGTCATGTTTCACCTGTGCACACCCACCTTCTTGGTGATTGCGATCACGGGCACCACTCGAGGGGAACATCATCCACCACACCTCTTTTTCCTTTTTGGCGCATCGGCGATAACAAGGAAGACCGCAGATAAGGAGCGCTTATTATCCGGGAGAACGTCATCTGAGTAACACTGCCGCCGCAACGCAACCCCCGCGGGAAGCAGACAGGCAAGGGCAGGGCAGGTCCCGGGTGTTCCTTCACGGATCAACAAACCCAAGGTTTTCGGCAGAGTTAGATGTTTCGAAATATCAGGTTTCTTTGAGGGCCGGGCCCAGGTCCAAGGAAGGAAACGAAGTGGAAGATTGCAAAAAGGAAAACGGAGGTCCGAAACAAGGTCTGTCAGTGGTTTGTCCACGTAACTCGCCTACGTGGGAGACCCTCATAAGACGGAGGCATCGGAAGTAAGTAGGGCTGAGCGAGGAACGCCAAAGTACGGATATGATGAACATGGGTCCGAGGTGAGTGTGAGTCGTCGCGTGTGGTCAAAAGCGCAATGTCGGCCGGTGACTGCCTACCAACCCGATGCGGAATTCCACGCGAAACTGCCCTGCGGTTGAGCGTTGCCGTCTTCACCTTTCATATCGCTGTAGCACATTCACGTTATTTGCTCGTTCACACGTGTCGAATTTTACGACGTCTTGTTTCACTTTCCCAGTCGGCAACCGGCCAATTTGGGCAGGTTGGTTTCAATGGGTTGAGGGTCGATGAACACAATCAGGTGCACTGAAGTAGGACGAGGAAAATGCCATCTTATAATTTCCCAGTGCGATTGGCACACACGAGCCACCGCCTCTGGACGGCCGCGAGGGCTGTTGCCCCCCCTCTGTCGAGTTACCATTGTGAACCTCTTACGAATACATCAAATCAACTCCGGCCCTGGGCCTTGCCTCGCCCTGCCCGCGAATTTGTAATCTGTGGCGGTATTGCCACAAAGCGTGGATCCTATTATGATAACGCCCATTTGTGCACACATCCTTCCTCTGTCCTTCACGCTTCCAATATGAACACACGCATCCCATCTCTTCATGTACCTTGGACGACAAATGATGACGGACAGACACAATTCCAGTGATACCCACACTCACTCCCCAATGCCCACACCCATACTTCCAATTCCAGTACGCCTCCCCGGACCCGATTTGCCCTTCCCATTCGTCAATTCCACAGCTTCCGGTTTGCCCCCTCGCCGGTTGAGTCAATGAACCATCAACGACGCGTCCTCACACTAGGCAGCCGTCGTTCATGATTCGACAACCACGTAGTGGTCCAGAATCACAGCACCCTGCAGGTAAACGCTGTAGGCAGACAGCGCGGTCCGTCGAAGGGAATGCCGAAACAGAAGTTGAGGCTCCGCCTTGCCATGTTATTGCCGGTTTCCATATTGAGGAATGCGGTGTAAGACACCGACATGATATGATGCCTTCTCTGTCGGTGTCCCTCAATCCGCCAGCCTGTCAGGCTGTGTCCAATGAGGCAGAACTGCGCATAGGCACTGATGGCTGGAACGCAGTGCATGCGGTGCATGTGTCTGATTTCTGCAGAGCAGCGCCCGGCACTACCCAACGGATTTGCATTTCTATGTGGCAGCACAGTCCTGCGGGTTGTCCAGATCGCGGTAGGACTTATGGAGGGTCCGAAGTGATTGAGGCTCCTCTCTGTCACGCGACGTTACAACAGACGCCAGCCTCGCCTCAATGCAGTCGAGTACCAACACAGGGATGCGTCTCCTATCAAGTAAAGTCGTAAATCACCAGGCTCTCTCCCCCGCCTCTGTTCTGCTTCCAAACAACAATCATCTCATCATCAAACCCAACCAGATCCCGCTCTTCTGCAACATCAATTGGGTCATAGTACCGGCTCGTCTCGTTGTCCCGCCCCGGGACCCTCTCCGGCCGTATCTCCACACTCATAACATTGCTCGCCCTCGACGTGGCACCTTCCAAAGCCCACACGCGCATCTCCTCACCTCGAGAGCCCACACTGACAGCCTTACCGCGGCAGTTGACCTGACCTTGGCTGATTCCAGACGTGTGCCCCCATAGCCGATGACCAGAGGTGACCGTCAAGGAGGACGGGCCAGACCGGCACAGAAAGTGAGATAAAGTGTTGTCGGGCAGGGTCGCAACGAGGTAAGGGTGGTTGTAGCACAAGGCTTTCGGCCCACACTCGCGAGGGGAGAAGCTGAAGTGAGGGGATAAGCGGCCAGGGTCCATGACTCTAGACCGGGGAGTCATGGGCGGTGTGAAGGGAGGTTCATATACGCTTGATTCGGCGGGCTCGCGGGAACCATCACCTGGCCTGGGTATATACTCAATCCAGTTGACCGGGCGACGGAACAGGAGAAGCGGGAGAGTGTGAGCGATGGGCGTAGTTGTGATTTCTGGCATCGAGGCTGGATCATCTTGAATAGGGGGTGAAATGTGGAGATCCTGAACGCCAAAAGACCAGCCGATGTGGGTAGTCACCGTATATGCAATTGATGCGATGACTGAAGAGTTCGTTTTCCGGATGGAGAAGGAGAGAGGTGCCTGGCACGTGTGCGAGTCTAGCGATGTTAGTAGATACGGCGGCGGTAACACCATGGTTTTATCACAGGGACCAGCCGTGGAGCCACCAAAGGTGTAAAGCGATACCAAAACCGCCCCGGTAGCTGTGATCAGGTACGGGTGCGAGTACGCCATCTCAATCAGCTCGCCATTGCTGGACTTTTCGTGTCGGTATCGTCGTTTCAAGCGGCCGTCCTTGACAGATAGCCTCCACACCCCAAAGCTCCCGTCGGTGAACCCCAGCGCAATGTCCAGCAGTCCATCCACGAGCTTTGCCTCATCGATGACCATGCAGCTTGGTGCAGTGCTGTGGGCGTCCCCGTCAACTTCTGGGACCTCCACCAACCCTACATGTCCCAACAGTTTGCGGCTCCTGAGATCCCATGCGCGCAGATATTGGCTATCTGCACTGACTGCAATACCCTGAACTACCTTTATGAAACTCCTCTGTCCTTTCCTCGAGCGTTGATGCTCGTTGAAACGTTCTTCATGACGTGGGGTGTTCACTGTTTCCTGTCCTCTGCTTAGGCGAAGCTCAACAGCCTTACACTTGCCCTTCGCCCAGTTGTGGCGTATTCTGTATTGTCTCTTCCAGTCCATCGTCCTGTTCGGTCTGTCCTCATCGGGTGCGTAGTACAACAGCGGGTCTTCCTGTACGCCGTCGCTTTGCACGTCGTCATCGTGGTCCTCAGGCGGTGTTATACCCCCCTCCAGCCAGTCCCGCACCCCCTCCTCTTCTTCGTCCTCGGCATCTTCATCCTGGCCGCTACTGCCGGTATTGAGATCTCCCACGTTATTGACCTTCAAATCTGTATCGAGGTCATTCCCGCAGGCTCGGTGTCCTGTTCCCCACCTGCAGGCTCGACCGAATGTGTTCTTGCTATGATACCCACCCAGGTGTGGGCCGAAGCCTGGTATGAGTCGGGCTCTAGGCAGCACAAAGCGATGGTAGTACAAATTCTTCCACAACTGCGAGTCGCAGGCGAGGGTATAAAATCGGCGGGAAACGGGAGAAACGCCGAGGAGCTGATTCAGTGAGAGAGAAGAGAGGATGCGCAGAAGGAGCTCGTCAGAAAGAGGGGATATAAGGTCGGGTCCCGCATGGTGCTTCAAGCAGCTGTGCGGTTTCTGCTGTAGTGCTTGCGTGGGGTTGAAGTCTGGAACAAGGCCGAGGTTTGCAATGGTGGAGGTCGGTGTGGACCTGGAATTGTTCAATTTTCGGCGGTGAGGCGGTCTGGGTGAGGAAGCCTCAGGATTGAAGGAATCAAGCGACCGCTTGTAGGACGGGAAAGCCATTATTGCCAGAGCCTGGCAACGAACGTGAAAGAGGATGTCGGAGTCTATCTCTTGATCGCAATCGGGAAAAGAAGTGGCACGTCGCGACTGCCGAGAAGTGCCGTTGCTTTCTCGTTGATGTTCCTGGGAAACAAAGGCGGAATTGTGGAGAAAATGCTGCTTGCTGTCAGCGGCCCGCGGTGGGTCCAAACAAGGTGTGGGTCAAAAGGTGGTACCTGACCCTTGTCTTTCGCCAACAGCTCCCTCAGCTCCAAAACCTCGATATCACGGTCACAGTTTTTTGAGCAAATAAATACTGATAATTCGTGCTAAAACTTGATTGTGTGTAAAAACGTCAGTCAAAGCGTGAAGGAACATAGTCTGTGCCGTGGCCGAGCTTGCTAGGTATCACACTACTCGAAAAGTCTGTCGGCCCTATCAGTTGGGTGAACAATTCACCGCCACATGGCACCGGCAAGCGCCAGTTGAAGATGGGGATCCAGTGACCCTCGAGTACGTACTCTCATCACCTCAGGTAGGGAATGCGCGATGTAGCAGCTTCGAGGTTCAACTCCGAAACACACCGCTTGATTCCCGTGGCGACAGTGGCTGAGGTGTATTGCGGCATTGACAAGCAAAACTGATGCAGGCGGATCCGAATTGGACACATGTATCAACAGTTCATCATTGCTCCTCGTTTTTCGGCTGACGCAAAGCTCTACTCATTTTTCGTCGGCTTGTATGTTTTGTCCACAACGCTTGCCGCGGAATATCAACTCTTCAAAAGTTTCTGCCTGCCATCCCACACCATGTTTTCACTCAGCCAGCCCACACAGCAGGCCCGGGAGGCTTGTACTCAAGCAACCTCATATCCTCCACTTTGACGGATCCAAGGACCATCTGATTCCCAGGAAGCCGAATCCCTTTCGTCTTGTTAGCAAGATGCAAGCATCTCTCTCCGAATCGGAGTCTTCAAGGAGGTAATTCACCTGGATCATCAATCTCATACGTCCCCGGAAACCTTGCAAAGCCGGCTGGACTCCCACCGCCCTCGCCCATAATATTGACATGAGCACAGTTGACAAACCACTGGCTGTAGTTGTACAAGTCCGTCGGCCAGAACTGTTCGATCCGCATGAGATACTTCCCCGGTGGCGTCGTCAGCGGAATGCTAAAGTTGAACTGTTTCCCTCTGTCAGTCCCATCCACACCACGAAGAGATGGGGGTCTGAATGATCATCCATGATAACTCACATCGCCCTCCCCCGACAACAACCAAGAATTATTGTCCTTCGGCCCCGCAACCGCAATCTTGAACCAATCCCCATCCCCACGATAGTTCTCAACATCGTCCCCGGGTGCCCTCGATAGGTAAATCTGTGCGGGCCCTCTATGGTAAAACTCACCGCCAGGCCCGTAGGCATCCCAGCTGACTCGGAACCCGACTTCACTTCCCGCAATGACATCAGCCGTGGAGGTGTTGGCCGCAGCAGCAAAGGCCTTCCTGCCGCAGGTGATGTCCGGATGGTGGACGTCCATCTGGGGTATGGTCTTGTGGTATTGGCCCCATGGAAAGATCTCGTCTTCGTAGTTGGGACCCATGACGTCGCGGACGTAGAGCCATTCCGGGGTGGCGGTTCGGTTGACGAGGAGGATGCCCATCGTGTCTGGACTGTCAGGACAACTCGTTCGTGTTAGGCTGCGGAGGGTTGAGCTTACTATGAGCCAGCACCTCAGGCATGAAGAACCAAGCCAAAAGCCCCAGAAGTTGTGGTTTCATGCTGTTTGAGCTTCAGGTTATTTTCAATCCAAAAGTGCCCTATTCAAGGTGGTCAGAAACGTTCCAATCTTCTCCACGCCTTCCGCCCTCTAAATACTCCAACGTTCTGCATCGAGATCGCTCATTGGAATCAAGAAAGCAGACCAACAGTAGAGACGGCATGCCATAGCCAACTCAACAAAGGATGGGAGTTAATATGGCGGCTATCAAAACTGTAGGATGCGGGGAACACTCTCCATCCGTTGACCGAAAGAGGATGAGAAGGATTTAGAGTGCAACACTATTATGAGCTCGTGCCGGCAAACACAATCGGGTTTTTGTTGTGAATGTGAATGACAGATATCATACGGTACCAGCCTGAACCCCCAGGGTTTGCGAAAAAAGGGGAAAAGGGGGTTGATCTCACTACAGCTGCACATGGTGCAGAAACAGGAGAGTATCATTGAAATACGGTCAAAGCAGAAGAGTTACTATCGAATAATAACTCCTCATCAGGCAACACCCCAGCCTCACTACCGCTGTGCTCTCCCGCAGCACGTCTCGTCCACATCGGACACCGACTAATACAACCTCCCCGGAAAAGCACCCTCAGCTTTCAACCCGCCCACAAAGTACAACTCCGTCTCCGCCAACAGCACCATCCTTCCCTTCCCCGCGAACTGAAAGTTGGCCACTCCCTTGCCCAGGAATATCTTTCCAATCAACTTCCCTGATGGACTATAAACTTGCACGCCATCTGCACAGCCCACGTAGACATTGCCCTTTGTATCCACATTGATCCCATCTGGTATACCAGGTGTGATAAACGCAAAGGTTTGTCTGTTGGACAAGGTCCCATCCCTGGAGACATCAAATCGGTAACTAATTGTATCAGCGGGCTGTGAACGAAACAACAAAGATCAACTAACATCGTGGAAGGATTGTTATACTCCATCCCTCTGAAAGCCTGCGCTACCCCGCTGTCGGTCACATAAAGATGTGACCCCGATGGTGAGAATTGAATGCCGTTTGGCATGCTGAATCCATCCGCCACCACAGTGACAGCCCCAGTAGCCTCATTGAAACGCCACACCTGCTTTGGAAAGCCGGGTGCAGGCCGAAAATCTTGAACGAATCCGTAGGTAGGGTCGGTGAAATAGATGTCACCATTTCGGGGGTTGACTGAGGCGTCGTTGATGGAATTGAATTGCCGACCAAAGTAGTTGTTCAGCATGACTAGGTATCCTCCTGACATTAGCACGTGATAAGTACTCGACGCGCGGAGACTACCTAACCGACCTTTTGTATCATAAGGAGGCTCTGGATTCATAAGGTAAATGGCAGGAGGAATGTTCTCCCCCTTTCCTTGTCCGACAAAGAGCAACTTGTTCTTGTAGTTTGTGCCCCCTATTTTGGTATTCAGTCTGATGCGTTCGTCAAGCACGTGCAAAATAAAACCCTACCGTTCGGGTTCATAACCTTGGCTCCGTCAGCCGCAGTCACATCCTCAATCTGAACAGATCCGCTGGCATTTCTCTGGCTGGTGATAGCCCCTGTGATGGCAGACAATTTGATCTTCTGAATGATGGCTGATTTTTGCATCCCTGTTCCGGCAGCTGGCGCACCTGCATTCTGACAAAAGAACATTTCATCTGTGGATGGATTCCTGCATCATATGTTAGCCGAGTAGTCGTTGCCATGAGCTCAAACACGCTGTCGGTTGACTTACCACACTGGAGCCTCGTGAAACAAGGGGTCGCCATCGGTGTGGTTCAGCAGCGTCAAGGTTGGGTTGGGCCCAATAATATCCTCGAACTCCTTGCTGTAGATGTGAAAGGGCCGGGCAACTAGAGACTCTATTGTCGCATTTGGTGGTGCGAATGGCTGTTGGACCAGATATCGATGGTTAACTTGACATCTTGGCTGGCATGATGAAAGGGATAAAAAGATCACACACAATCCAAGCAATGAAACCTCCATATTCTGACGGTGGAGGAACAGTCGGGAGAACATTAAAGGCCCTTTGATCGATCCTTTGTGCCTGGGCCGCAAAACTTTGCCTTTCGGCATGAAACAAGTCTGGAGTGCTGATAGCGACGCCTAGAAAGACAGCTGATGACAGGAAGCTTTTGCTGAACTGTAATGGCGGCATGGTGCACAGTCTGAATAGGGTCTATGGAAGGTGCTTCCAGATCGTGGATGTCGGTATCTCTGTGTCTTGCACGAGAAGGAGACATTCTTCAGCAAAGCAAGATAGAGGGGGAGAGCCATCATGTAGTTACTCCGAATCCTACATCATAACCCCACTCGACCCCTGACACGGGGTACCACAGGGCGTAAGACGGGATCTGCATACATCCGCAATCCATGCGAAGATCGATATCTCATCCGAAATTCTGCCCAAGGGTGCCGTCGGACCGGCGCGGAGGTCCGGGCGCTGCGGCGGGCACCACCCCTTTGCGGTGGCAGGCTGAATAGATGTTTTATCTCCCCATGTCGAGACTTCCAAGGCTATCAATCATCATCCGCAATTGACCATGCTGTCTCCCAGGCACGAACAACCACTTCTCGAGCCTCCAACACCATGTCTTGTCGAGAGAGCAGGGCGGTGATGGTAATCCAGGGCCCGCAGAAATCATCGTGGTCCTGGAAACGTGCAACAGGCCATTGCTGCTGTACACAATCAGTTGAATAGACTGGGGGTCTTCTGGGGTGCGGATTTTGGCTTGGGGTGTGGTTCTGGGTCTTCTCGTAGATGTAGCAGAACTGGCCTGCGCGTTGAAGATCATTTTGCCGCTGAGAAACTTTAGAATTTGTTGATCGCGATATCTTGGGATCAGGCTTGGGGATTATCTGTTGGGTCTGGGGGTGCTCGATCCGCAAGAGCCATGCACGAGGTGAGCTCTTGCTCTTTCGGTCAAGATATTCAATTTAGGGTTTGCACCTTCCTCGCACAGCTTTCATTTCCATACTAAAAGGGAAAGACCGCCCTTTTGGCAGCTGCGATGTTCATTTTTTTCAACTGGGTCCAACATCTTTGGATGTTGTCATAATCGATCAATGTGAGCCACGCTCTTTCCTCCTATTGGAGGACTTTTGTTCTCAGCTAAGAATCCGGGCAATCTGTCTGGTGTACCTAGACTTTGATATTTGATTATTGCGCTATGCTGTATAACCAACACCGCCTTTTGAGCCAAAATAGTGCGAGGTCCTTGGACTTGATCAGCTCGGTGCCAAAGTAGAGTTAGAGAATGCTTCTTCTCGTATAGTCCGTCCTGCCATACCACCGGCTGCTTCAATCATTCACCAAACCAACGCTTGTAAGGCTCTGTTATTCTTACTCTCGACTTTATCAAATTATCGCCTCTGTTTCCTCAAAACTCACAAAGAATCGCGCACTATCAACCACGCTATCCCGAAACATCACCCAGTCTCTCCCCAACACTTTCCTTGCTGGCTCGGAATTAAACTTCTTCATTGCCGCCCTCGTTTTCTTGACCTCCTCAACCTTCCCTGCAGACGCCTCCCTGATAACACCTCTCAGATTATCCCCGACCTCCTCCCTCAAAACCTGCGCCATCTGACCAGGACTAACATTATCCTGCGCCACAAGCAAAAGCCTCTCCCTCCTCTTCTCCTCCCCATCACCCACAGCCAAGTCATTCGCCACAGTCTTCACCACCACCTCCGCCACATCCCTAACATCAACAAAAGTCCCCCTAATGACGCTCGCCTCGGGGACATCGCCTCCATGCATCACATCCCAAATGTCCTTCACCCGCATGCTCAGCCCAGACAACGGGCTCGGCATAAACAACGGCGGCCCCAACACAGGACTGGGACAAAAAGTCGTGACATTCACCGCCTTCCATCTTGGATCATTCTTGTCATCGACAATCTTCCAGAGTGCCTTTTCTGCAGCGGTTTTGCTGGCTTGGTAGGTGATGTAACCGGGTGTGTTGTCCCCCAGCTCTGCCACCTTGGCCTCGGCTTCTTGGTTCCAATCTGCCGAGGTAAAAACGTGATCCGGAGAGCGGTAAGGGGGTGGTGAGTACACTGCGCTGATGGAGGACATGAAGGCCACTGATTTGAACTTGGTGGGGGCCTCAACGGCGGAGGCAAGTAGGGAAGTGGTCCCGTCAACGGCGGCCTTCATCATGGGGGCTGGGTCGCCGTCGGCCATCGAAACCGGAGAGGCGAGGTGGGCTATGGCTTGGACACCTTTTTGATGTCATGATCAGGTCATCAGTGAAGACAGGAGCACGGGAAGGAGGGACCTGCCTTGGACCGCATTGTCAAACGCCCCTTCGATGGTGATGTCAGGAACCTCGACTATCTCGACCTTGCCGCCGCCTGCTTTCTGGGGTGCGGACAATGCGCGAAGCAAGGACTCGACATTAGGAGAGGTTTTGTTTCGGACCGTGCCCCTGACGCTGAAGCCGGCCTGGAGGAAGCGGGCGGCGGTGTGCGCGGCGATGTAGCCGTTGATACCGGTGATGAGAACTTTTGCCATTGTGCGCTGGACAGCCTTTGCAGGTGAACTGAATTGGTGAATTCCTGGAACTGAAAATTGAATCGGAGACTGGAAAAAAAAAAGATGGCCGATATCGCTACCAGCGACTCGCAAACAACACCGGCCGGCGTCACACACGCCCCTTGCCACGACAACGCCCACCCGGGTCATACATATCCCGATGGCAGCCGACGGCTCCCGGGCTCACTTATCGTGGCAGCCTTTCATCCGAAACCTTCATCTTTATTTCATCTACCGCACTCCGTATTTACAAATCCCGACCCCCTTAATTGAACACGTTCGGCACCGGGTTCCTCAAGTAAGGCTTCACCGCCGTCGTCCCGTTGAAATCCCTCGACACCGCCTGGGCAAACGCCTGGGCAATCACATCCGCCCCCTCGGGGCTGGTGTGGGTGTAATCCACAGGGTAAAAGCTATTCACCTTCTGGCTCCCCAACCGCTGATACGTCTTGGTCACAGCCTGGTAGTGATCCACAAAGCTCGCCCCGCTGCCCACGTTCCTCGCCGCGGCAGCAGCGTACGGCACGAACCTAGGCGGCTCGTAGTTCCCGCTCCACTGCCCGTTCTGCCACAGGTTCTTGGGCGTCTGGGCGCTGAAGACGACCTTGGCCCCCTTGGCGATGAGAGCCCTACCGGCCGTCTGGAGGTAGTGGTTGTACGTGTAGACCGTCTCGCCTGTCTTGCCTGACCTGCAGACCTCGTTTCCTGTGCCGGGGCAGGCGCTGCGGCCGTTGTCGTTGGCCGAGTTGGGGGAGCTGCCGTCGTTGTGCCCGAAGCTGATGATGACGATGTCGTTGGGGACAACGAGGCGCTCGATCTCGGCGAAGCGGCCTTCGTTGGTGAAGCTGCGGGCGGAGCGGCCGGAGATGGCCTTGTTGACGACCGAGATGGTGAGGTACCTGGAGAGGTACTCGCCCCAGCCGTTGTGCGGGCTGTTTGTGCGGGCCATGGTGCTGTCGCCGGCCAGGTAGACGGTGGGTGGTTTGGTTTGGCGAGGGGAGTTCTGCGAAGGGGCGGCGTTGCTTCCCGCCGCCATGAGGAGCGGGAGGAGGGTGGCCGGTGAGAACTTCATGATGAGGGTCTGTGGCGGTGGTGACTTGGTCCCGATCTCGTATCTTTCCCTCCACAACACGGACAGAGGGGGGTCGTGGTCTCTTTTAAAGCAGCCGGCTTCCATCTCCCCAGGGGTCCCACAACATGCCTATCGTGTCATCTTTCGTCGACTTTGCAATGTTGCATTTTTTTCCCGGTAGGCTAGCTTCGGGTTTCCTGGATAACGGCCTGGATTCCACCAGCGAGAGGAGACCTTGTGCACTTGCGCAGCACGCTCTCCTCGCCATAGCGCAAGGCGGGAAAACTCATCAAAGCCACAACCGACCGAACGGGACCCTCCACGTTACCGTCGCCAACAAGAAATCCCCCGGGCTAGTGTCGTAACATGTTACGGTTGGTGCGGCTAAAAGGGGAAATAAGGAATCTGGGGTTTCCCCCAGATCCAGTCGTCGTCTCCAACGGCACCTCTGTCGGGAGAATGATCCAAACAAGGTATTACGGGTTCTCAGCAGCCGAGTAAGTGGTCAGCGGCATGACATTGTCCTTGGCAATATGACGGGCAAAGCTCCACCTACATCAGCTCTTTGTAGCAGTTTCACGAGAGCGAAGCGTACGGAACAATCTGAGATTGGAGGAAAAAGTTTCGAAACCCCCAAGCAATGACGCTAATTCGACCAAATGCTACGAAACATTACACCATGTCCATCTTATCGCCGTCCATAACATGATCAGCGTCGACTGTGGGCTCGATTCTTTTTGATCTGCTGAGATCCCCAAGCGTCGCCGCGACCCGGTCACAAGTAGCCGCCGATCGGTCCGTCAGCGCAAGCTCGTAGTCTACCACCACGTTCGAAGTGAGGTGCTCTGCCGCCATGGCCGAGAGTGACGGATTTTCCGATCGCTTCACCTCGCCCATCACCGACTCTGCGTATTGTCTCGTGATCGTTTGGGTGGAAAGCGCCAGGGCCAGTAGTCCCTGTATAAAGACTTTGATAACTTCAAACCGGCTCACGATGCGAAGAAGGCCCTTGATGCAGACCGCAAAGTAGTGTCGTCGTACATGATCGTCCTTTCGTTCCACCGAGGGTCCAGTCTGGCAAAGACTGCTTGCAAGAGACATTGTCCCGCCCAGTGGGCCCAACAGATTTCCCAGGAGATCAAATGTACTCTGGTAATTGATTACCAGCCTCTTGAGTTGGTTAACCGAGGAGTTGAACGCACAGAGGGCGGATCCTTGAGTGTCGAATGACCGGAACTTCAGCCGCTGCAATGGCACAAATATAAATGGTTGAAATAATGCAATGACAGCTGCATGAAAGTGCATACTACACAAACGTCCATAAGTATCTCCACATCCACATTGGTCGACGGGGTTTCAACCAGAACTTACTGCATGCACATTGTCTCTGGAGAGTTCTGATCCCCTCTGACGCAGGCAAGCGGCAGACCTGCCGCCCATGCAAGCAGTCGCCGAAAGATATTTTCAGCTTTCTCAAGGCTTGGGTTTCGATTCGACATTGGTGCTAGCGGAGAACCATCGTCTGGCTCACCAGTATAGTAGTACAACCGCACCATGTCATGAACTATTACCGCCAGCTCATTCGTGAATACGTAGCTGACATCTGAATAGCTGGGGAGAGGGAGTATCTCTAAGCTACCGTCGTCCGTCTTGTACGTACCGCGACCAGCTATGGGAAGCCCGGGATGCCCCTGAAATGCACAGGAGCGGGCATGTAAGTCAGTGAATCTATGTTCGTCAGCTTGAGAGTCTCGCCAGGCTGCCAACCCCAAATGAAGGACGTACGTTTGATTCGAAAATACACCCCACGCAGTATGTGAAGTGGCTTTGGCCCACTGGCCAGAGCTCAGAGTTATACCTGTCGGTTGAGCAATTGCCCCTGCAGAAAAAGCGTCCCCAGTCCCGAATAGCCCCATGAGCCGACTAGCTGCAAGAGAAGCGGCTTTGTATCGCGCCGAGACGTCGGCGTGGCCTAACACCACGGCGCAAGCTTCAAGCAGAGTGGCGGTAGGGGCAGAGGTGATGGTGGTGAGATTCAGAGACTGCCAGAATAAATGATCTGCTTGTGCCAAAAATCGGACACCCAATTCTTGCAGACCCTTCTCAGGGTATAAGCTGCAGTAAGCTTGCTATGCTTTGAGTCAGCAACGTGAAATCGTACCCGGTTTTCAGCTACTTACGCAAGTCCACGCCAACAACGCATTGACGAGCTGGGATGAGCAGTAAACATGCCCTCCGTGGGCCAAGTCGTTGAGAAAGAGATCTGCATCAAAAAGTTGAAAGGCAGGCTGGTCATTGACAAAGTATTGTGAGAGCAGGCTAGCGGCAAGATCTCCGTTAATCGCGACATCAGTCCATCGGGTGATGTCAACGCTCTGAAATCCGTTGTCAGGCTGTGGATAAGGGCGCTTATTTTCAATCGAGCATGTAATCTGTACGGCATCGATGTGGCTGAGAAGCTGACTGGGGTCGTATATCACCTGTAGCCCAAGGCGCTCAGCATCTGGATGTATTAGAGCAGGGTATACCGAGGGGTCTGAGGGTGTTTGTTAGTTGTATTCCCGCAATGCCAGAATATCGAATATACGTACACCTGGTCGCCAATTCGTTCGCCAGGCTGTGGTGGGCATGTGGTTGAAGCATGTATTCCTTTTCAGTGTCTGTAGAGGTTTGTCTTGAGAGTAAAGATAGCGGCAAGGGAGAATTGCCGACGGCAGATGAGCTCTTAGTGGACAAAGGCTGTGGGGTTGAGAATCTGAGGTTGGTCATGAATCAATTTACGGCACCGGGGAGAGGAGGTAAGACATGTAAACAAGTTTCAGTGGCAAACTAGATGTTTGTCAAAGGGGCAAGCCAGTCATGACGAGGAACAAAAAAAAACAATCAAAACTCACGGCTGGGAATAATGGCTGAAAGCTTCATTATCCAGTCGTTCTCCCAACGATGATTGACCGCTGCTAGGCCCCTGATCAAAGACACTCACCGCAATATCGTCGAGAGGAATATTGTCAGAGCTCTCTGCACACTGAGACCTATACAGCAACTCCAATTCCTGAATCCGTTCTCGGAGGCGCGCGTTTTCCAGGCGCAACGCCTCTTCTGGCGAGAGTTGGTAGCGACATTCTTGGGGTCGCTGCCGCGATTGGCACTGAAAGCACGGCTCTCCGCCGTTGCACTTGATCTTTTTCGTCTTGCAATAGGCGCAAGCCTTGCGAGACAGCAGACGACGAGGCGGAAGTGCAGGAGAATCACTCGGGGGCCCGAGGGTGGAAGTTTCTTGAGAAGACCAGGACTCGGCCGATTCTTGCCTGTGGGGTGCGGGGGCAATGTCTCTGAAGCGAGACATGTTGAGGTGACGAGGTTGTGCAAAGTCCTAGCAAACGAGATGCGTTTGAAGATGGCTGTATACCCAAGGGAGCCAGTTGACTTATCAGGAGTTGAGTCCGGCGCTGCGGGTTCGATGAGATCAAAGTGGCAGTTTTATATGTGTTTGGGAGAAAACACTTAAGCTTTTATCAGGGTCCATCCACTGCTAGTTGGGGCCTGCAGCGTGTCAGCCCAGATCTGGGCCCGGATACGTTGCCAAGCGCATGAGGTAAGCATGAAAGTTGCCACTAATCGTCATATAACCTCTTTTCTTAATTGTGGACAGCAATGCCATTTGTTACGAGGTTACTTGGCACTCCTGGCGAGTATGGCACGCATGGCTAACAACAATCAGGGAGAAGAAAGAGTGCAAGGGAATGACGTCGCCATCAAGCGGTGGAGCCCTTCGGATCGCGTGCAGGGTCTTCATCGAGAAATGGAAGCGGGGCACCGCTAGCGGATCCAAACGCCCAGACTTCCACAAACAGGTTTTGACATGTCAAAAAGGGACCAAATACCCCGCGAACGAGTCTCGTAAAGGTTAGGGTTCATGGTCAGTCACTCCTGAATCCAAAATATTGAGATCGCATCACGGCACCTACGACATCCGAGGAAGATACCTATGTTATTTGCCGTCGTAGCCGCTAGCAAATTTAAACCAGGGTAGTTCAATCAGCAAATTAGATAAACCAGTTGCAAACTCCAATTTTGCCTCAACATTGGGCACCAAATCGAGACCTGTGGCTGGATGAGCTGAGGCATCCTTTCGAAATGAGGGGTTTTGACAGTCGGAATTTCAAGGATGGCTCATCTACAGGACGTTAACCGAAACTTCAACCAGCAGACCAGCCTCCAAAAGACAACGACCATAACTCTGTCGACGACCTGGCAAGCTTTGTCGAACAGTACCTTCGCTCAACTACCACCAGACAAGACCGCGAAATCAAACTCCTGAAGTTACTCGAAGACATGGGTGATGAATACCTCTACCACCTCGGCGAAAATGACACCCAGGCCGAGAGATACTATAGAAAAGTTCTCCAGCTAGCCGAACGCCTTCACGCCGCTAGTTCGTAGTGACCTATTGAAGGACATGACTGTTTTGGCGTCAGGGGCGAAAAGCGGCATTTTATCATGGCATGGCTGGCTATCAGGCTCTCTGCAAATATGACTCCCAAAAGGACTGGCATCAAGTCAACAGTCGCAACAGCCAGGTCAGTGTTTGAAAACGAAAACTCACGTTCTATAATCATCTAACTCGATCATCCAAGCCATGCAAGATCTATGTACAAAATACCCACGCGCGTCGCCTTCGACCATACCAGATCAAAATTCTGTACGTGTCAACCTAGTCTTTAGTAGGGAAAAATAAAGTACAGAAATAGAATTTGTCCCTAGTAGCATTTCATATGGGTGGTCCCTGGTATTTCCTTGCGCCAAAATGAAACCAGCACACTCCTTCGAGGGCCCGCAACCCAGCCAGGGAGAGGTTGCACCCAGAAGCGGCCAGAAATATAAAATAAAAAAAAAGAGGAAAGCCGAAGAAGAAAAACTCATTGCATCCAAAAGTCGGATAGATCTAAACCCCTTTCCCCTTCCGAAAGCCAAGCGAGCCCAAGACCGTTCCCTCCCTTATGCCGACCAACGCCCCTGGAAGAGAACTGACAAAACAGGCAAATCAGAAGAGAGGGAAGAGAAATAAGGGTGGTTCCAAACGAGAGCAAGAAGAGAACACAAAAGAGAAGTAATAAAAGATACACCGGCAAACTTTTGTTCAAAAGATATAACAATACTCGCCCCGTTTCATGAAGGCGTGCGCGCGTGTGTGTGCGGCCCCGTCCTCCTGTCATTCCAGACATGCTTGCCCCCAGGCAAGAGGCCATCATCGTGTCATGCTCCCCATTCAATGCCCTCGCTTATCCCTTGAAAGATGAGGATAGAGGCCCCAAGTCCATGTTGAGAACAGATGATTGTGGAGTCCAATCATGACACATCCTACACCACCGGAGGCGCACCATTTAGTCACTGTCATCAAGGGCGATGGCAGCAATGGGCGTGGCAATCACACGACCAGTCTCAACCACGGTGCGGCGGGTGGTGAATGTCATGACTGTGGGCTTGCGAGTGATGGTGGTGGTGCGCTTAGTCGTGGTCATTAGCAGCTTGGTTGTCGTTGTGCGGAGCGTGGTCATAACCGGGCGGGGGTTGGTAATATTTGTCTTGCGAGTGGTGGTGGGATGAAGACTGATTGTAAGCCGAGTAATCGTGGGCTTGCCCGTAGTGGTAGGCTTCCATTTGTGAGTGGTGTTAGGCTTGTGAGTGGTAGGCTTGTAAGTGGTGGTAGGCTTCCAGTTGTGAGTGGTGGTATGCTTGTGAGTGGTAGGCTTCCAGTTGTGAGTGGAGGTAGGCTCCGACTTGTGAGTGGTGGTATGCTTGTGAGTGGTAGGCTTCCCAGTTGTGAGTGGAGGTAGGCTCCGACTTGTGGAGTGGTGGTATGCTTGTGAGTGGTAGGCTTTCCAGTTGTGAGTGGAGGTAGGCTCCGACTTGTGACGTGAGTGGTATGCTTGTGAGTGGTAGGCTTCCAGTTGTGAGTGGAGGTAGGCTCCGACGTATCAGTCGAGGTGGGCTCCGACTTATGAGTGGTGTTAGGCTTGTGAGTGGTAGGAGGCTTGTAAGTGGTAGGAGGCTCCGGCTTGTGAGTGGTGTTAGGCTTGCGAGTGGTGTTGGGCTTGTGAGTGGTGTTGGGCTTGTGAGTGGTGTTAGGCTTGTGAGTGATGTTAGGCTTGTGAGTGATGTTAGGCTTGTGAGTGGTGTTAGGCTTGTGAGTGATGTTAGGCTTGTGAGTGGTGTTAGGCCTGTGAGTGATGTTAGGCTTGTGAGTGGTGTTAGGTTTGTGAGTGGTAGGAGGCTTGTGAGTGATGTTAGGCTTGTAAGTGGTAGGCTCCGACTTATCAGTCGAGGTGGGCTTCGACTTATCAGTCGAGGTGGGCTCCGACTTATCAGTCGAGGTGGGCTCCGACTTATCAGTCGAGCTGGGCTCCGACTTGTGAGTCGAGCTGGGCTCCGACTTGTGAGTCGAGCTGGGCTCCGACTTGTGAGTGGTGTTGGGCTTGTAAGTGGTAGGCTCCGACTTATCAGTCGAGCTGGGCTCCGACTTATCAGTCGAGGCGGGCTCCGACTTATCAGTCGAGGTGGGCTCCGACTTGTGAGTCGAGCTGGGCTCCGACTTGTGAGTGGTGTTGGGCTTGTAAGTGGTAGGCTCCGACTTATCAGTCGAGCTGGGCTCCGACTTATCAGTCGAGCTGGGCTCCGACTTATCAATCGAGCTGGGCTCCGCCTTATCAGTCGAGCTGGGCTCCGACTTATCAGTCGAGCTGGGCTCCTGACTTATCAGTCGAGCTGGGCTTCGACTTATCAGTCGAGGTGGGCTCCGACTTATCAGCCGAGGTGGGCTCCAACTTATCAGTCGAGGTAGGCTCCGACTTATCAGTCGAGCTGGGCTCCGACTTGTGAGTGGTGTTGGGCTTGTAAGTGGTAGGCTCCGACTTATCAGTCGAGCTGGGCTCCGACTTATCAGTCGAGGTGGGCTCCGACTTATCAGCCGAGGTGGGCTCCAACTTATCAGTCGAGGTAGGCTCCGACTTATCAGTCGAGCTGGGCTCCGACTTGTGAGTGGTGTTGGGCTTTGCCGTGGTGGTGCGGGGAGCGACAATGGTGGTCTTGACGGTCGTGGCAGTGGTCCGGCAAGTGCGGTAGTAGTTGTCATCCAAGATATAACCGTAACCATCCTGCATGGACATCTGCGAGGGACGACGAGTCTCACCGCGGTT